AATTATTATATAAAATAAAATATTTTAATTTTGTTTTTTCTTTTTCAGAATACACAAAAAGACTGCTTAGTTACTAATAACAATAATAATAATAATAGTAGTAGTAATAATAATAATAATAATAGTAGTAATAATAATAATAATAATAAAAGTACAGAAATAAATTCGAATCCTAGTCTTAATTTATTAATGGAAATGGAATATTCTATAGAAAATGACAAAAGGGAATTAACGATTGTTTCAAGGACTGATGATATTTTAGGAGGTAATTTCAGTATTATTTTTTTTATTATTATTATTATTATTATTATTATTATTATTATTATTATTATTATTATTAAGTTATTTGCGCAAAAATTATTTGTATTGTGGTCATGATAAATTCGAAATGAGATTGGGTGACTCTTCTTCAAGTAAAAATTACATCAACCATTTTGAAAGAAATGTATTCGATTGATTGTTTTAAAAATAATTTTTTTTTATTCATTCGATAAACTTTAAATTAATTTTTATGTGTTTATACATTTGTTTCCCCCCCTCCCTTCCTCTCCCCTCGTGTAATTTTTATTTAATGCGGAAGTATTAGAATAATACTGACGCTGTAATTGTTTGTTTTTGTTTCAGGTGAACAAAAGAAACCGCATTGGTTGGATCCAAGGTCTTGTCCTTTGTGCAATAGGGTTTATAGCAATTTATCAAATTTAAGACAACACATGAAACTCATACACAATCCGACATTGGTCACGTGTAAATTATGTTACAAAACGTTTAAAACGGATCTTTACCTTCGTAGACATTTGATAAGTTTTCACGAGATGAGTTCGAATAGTAATAATTTCGTATCTATAGAACCATTTAAAACGATTCAATTGCAATCGACGTCATGGAATCATCAACAAACGATAAAAACCGAACCCGATGCTATTATTATTATTATTATTATTATGGGCACTCCCAAACACGGCAAGGCTTTCATTTGTCGAGGTTTTTAAGCATTTATTCCAGATTTCTACCCGACGATTCCTTAGGGATAAATGTTCGAATTTCGTTGGTGCTATTTTTATGCAATATTTTCCGAAAAATGTGGGCCGTCCCATTTATTATCATTATTATTATTATTATTATTATTTAAAAATAATTTTAACGGGTTACGGGTACCTAAAATTTAAAAAAAAAAAAAACAAAAAAATACTCGCAGGGTAAACGCGATGACAATTTTTTTATTTTTTTATTTATTTTTTTTCGAAATTTCAAATATTGAAAAAATTAATTTCCCACCCTTCCCTTCCTTCTTTCCCCCTCCCCACGTGGAAAATTTATGAAAACAAACGATATTGTTATTATTATTATCATTATTTTTCTTTTTGAAAATATTGCGTTTATATTTTTTTCAAAATATATTTGTGCTTGTTTTTTTATCGGTAAAAAAACACACTCAAAAAAAAATTGAAAATTTTTTTTGGGAAAATTTTTGAAATTTTTCAATTAATTAAATCGTTTTTAAAAATTCCCCCACCCCCCATTCCCCCACATCTCGCACTCCCCACTCGTTTTTATTTTGCATTTGAAAACTAAAAAAGAGCAAAACGAATACTTTTGCTTTGGTTTAAAAAACCAAAACCAAAAAAAATTTTGTTTTTTTCGTTTGTCATTAACAAAAAAATTTTTTATTTTTTTTTTCCGGGGAAAACAATTATCTCTCACGAATATTTAATTTAAATAGTTTTTCCGGCTTTTCCGGGGTTTTTTTTTTCCCCGTGAAAATTTTATTTTCCTAGTGAAAATATTCAAATCGACAAAAAAAAAAAACCAAAAACTAAACCGTATAACGATAAATTAAAAAAACCTAAAACCTAAAACCTTAAACCGAAACCGTAAAAAAAAAAAAAAACAAAAAAAATTTTATTTTGCGGTTTGTTTTCCCGCCATTTTTAATTTGAATTTCGTTTTTTTTTTTTTTTTTAAACGAAAATAATTTTAAACAAATTAATCTAATAAACGGTTTCTAATTTCAAATTTTTTATTTAATTCGAAATTTTCCACGTATATTAACCGTAAATGTGTAAAATGTTTTCCGTTGCTTCTCTTCAAAAAGGGAAAATAATAATAATAATAATAATATTAATAATAATAATAATAATAATAATAATAATAATTTTATAAGAAAAAAAAATTGTTACAAAACTTTATAGGGTTTCCCCAAACCACGTGTACGATGTGAAAATTTACTTCCCTATTTTGACTTAATAAACTTTATTAAAATCTTATTAATCTTAAATTTAAAAAAAAATTTTTTTCAACTTATTAAACATAAGAGAGAAACGATTAAAAAATAATTAATAATACTTCTTATTTATGTATTTATATATTTATTAATAATTATTATTATTATCGTAGTTATTAATATCGCAACTCGATTTTTTTTTTTTTTGAAAATTTTAAATTTAAAAAAAAAATTCGTTTAAATCAATTATCATTATTATTATTATTAATATCAATAGAATATTAATATTAATATTATTAATTTATTTAAATACGTAAATAAATATTTATGTATGTTAATTTTTAAATTATTATTTTTTTTTTTTAATAGAAAATAAAACGGAAAAAAAATAATAATAATAAGAAAGAAAAATTTTAAATTTAAAATAATTTCATTTTTTTCCTATTTTCTTTCCCTATCTATCTATCTATCTTTCTTTCTCTCTCTCTCTCTCTTTACTTAAGCTCAATAATCACAAAATTTTTAAAAACTAATGATGATGATGATAATTTAATAAAAGATTATTAAAAGGAATTCGACTATAAAATAAATAAATAATAATAATAAAAACTCTTAAAAATAAACAATAAAAAAAGAATCTGACGTTGTTTTTATATTAATTAATATTATTATTATTATTATTATCATTATCATTATTATTATTATTATTAATAATATTATCATCATTATTCTCTACATAATATTTTTTTTTGTAAAGTTTTTCCTTTGACCTCTTTTTTTTTTACTCTTTTCAATTAAATTTTTAATAGTTTTATTATTATTATCGTTATTTTCTTATAAGATAAAATAATAATAATAATAATAATAATAATAATAATAAAATAATAATAATTGATTTTTTTGGATTATTAGAAACATCTAAAAAGGGTATTGCTGCTAATACTACCACCACCACCATCAATTCTACTACCACCACTACTACCATCACTACCACCGCCACCACCACCACCACTACTACTACCATCACCACCACCACCACCACCACTACTACTACCACTTGTACTATTACCATCACAACCCTCACATGTTATATTTTTATAAGAATTTTCCTTTTATTTCCTTTTATTTCCCCCCCGCCCCCTCCCGGTGTTCCCTTTTGTGGTTTAATTTATCCCACTTTTATTTATATACATGTTATGAAAAATTATTTGTAATGACGTCATCATATCATACGTTAATATTTCAATTTTTTTTTCTTTTGTAAATGAAATATATATAAATATCGGAAAAAAAAATGTTATTAAATTTTTTTTTTTTAAAATATTTTCTATTAAAATATCTATCAATAAATAAATAAATAACGTGTACGTACGTATGTACGTATAATAATAAAAAAGGAAATGAAATTTCTTATTATTATTATTATTTCCAATTATTTATTTATTACTATTATTATTTTGTTTCCTTTTGTTACAATAATTTTTAATTAATTTATTTGTTTTTTATCAACTCTCTCTCTCTCTCTCTCTTTCTCTTTCCCTCAAATACAAAATTTTAATATCGTTAAGATAAAAATTTAAGATAAAAAATTAAACAATTATTTTATTATTATTATTATTATTATTATTATTATTATTATTATTATTATTATTATTTGTTTATAACGACGTGCGAGTTTTTTTTTTTTCTCTCTTCTTTTTCTTCTTCTTTAATGTATATATATCGATAATAATATATATTAAAATAATATAATTTTATTTTTTAATAAAATAATAATAATATAAATTTTCTTTTTTATTATTATTATTATCATCAAATCCATCGATTTCTTTTATATTATATATTTATTTATTTTTTATTACATCGATTTTATATTTTTTTTTTGTGTGCTTTTGAATTATTGATTTTTTTTCCTTTTTTTATTGATTCAAAGTCGATGAAAATACATACAAACACAACTGTGCTGCTTATTATTAATAATAATAATAATAATAATAATAATAATTTACGTTCGTTCGGGCCATGTATATAATTTTAAGTGATAATAAAAAAAAAAATAATAATGGTGATAATTCACACCGCTACGATTTTATTATAAATTTTATTTATTTATTAACATTACAACCGAAAAAAATCAATTATTATTATTATTATTTAAATAAAATGGAAGTACATAGAAAAACGTTACGTTTAAGGATTGCCGTATTATCATAAGCTAAACACTGTTTTTCTTTATTGTCACGACAGACCTTCAAATTTGTTTTCCTTATCATTTATCGTCGTAAAAAAATCGATTAACAAAAAAAAAAAAAAAAAATTGTGCGATAATAATAATAAATAGGAAAATTAACATTTTGAAAAGATTCATTCGATCAATCAATCAATCATTCATTCATTCATTCGTTTTTCGAATTATTTTTTGTTTTTTTTTTTTTTTAAAGGATTTTTTAATTAACCTTTTGATTAAAAGAATTTCATAACTGATTCGATATCAAGGTTAAATCGATACAATTTCGATAACAAATGTGTTTTGCAATAGAAGGCGGTGATGATAAAAAGTTGGAAAATTGGAAAATGTTTGGAAAATAATTATTATTACGCCATTTTTTTTTGTAAATTTAAATAATTGTTTAATAATAATGCGAATTGAAAAACCTCAAAAAACGGTGTAAGTGCGAGTAAAGAAGATTTCAAATAACATTTAATAAAAAAAAAAAAAAATTGTTTTTGTTTTGCTTTGTTTTGTGTTTGTGCGTCTTCTGCTTTGTTTTGATAAGTGGTTAAAAATAAAAACAAAAAAAAAAAAAATGAAAAAAAAACAACAACAACGTGAGTGTAATGATGAGTAAAAAGAAAAATTTAATTAAAAAAAAATTAACTTTTTCAATTTGTTTTTCTTTTTCATTTTTTTTTTTTTTTACATTCGCCATAATAATAATAATAATAATAACTGGAATTTTTTTCGTTTTATTTTTAACATTTTTACTGGAATTTTTTTCGTTTTATTTTTAACATTTTTACTGGAATTTATCGATTGTGTAAAAAAAAAATCACTCGTACGCAAAAAAAAGACAATAATGATGATGATAACGATAAATTAAAAAAGTAATTATTTATTTTAAAAAATTGAAGTTTTTTTTTTATTATTTTCGCGCCATTTTTTTTTCTTTCTTGTTTATATTAATGTATTTTTAATCCTATCCTCTTTCGCCCCCCCCTCCTCCCAATTCCGTTAAAAAAAAAAAAATTAATTAATTTTATTTAAAAAAAAAAAGAAAAAACTGGTTTACATTTTCTAACCTTTGATCTTTTCACTAAATTTTTTACGTCGCTTTTTGTTAACTTTTTTTTTTAATTCCCTTCCCCCCCCTCCCCTCT